TATATAAATATATATATATATATATATATATATATATATATATATATATATATATATATATATATATATATATATGTACATATATATACATATATATATATATATATATATATATATATATATATATATATATATATATATATATATATATATATATATATGTATGTATGTATGTATATACATATATATATATATATATATATATATATATATATATATATATATATATATATATATATATATATATATGTATGTATGTATGTATATACATATATATATATACATATACATATACATATATATATATATATATATATATATATATATATATATATATATATATATATATATATATACATACATATATATATACATATATATAATATATATATATATATATATATATATATATATATATATATATATATATATATATATATATCTTCTTTTCCTTTACGGCTGTTGGTCCCGCCTTGCAGGGTCAGCCGTCCGGGTCTTCCGTCTCCAAATCTTTCTTTCCAGGGCCTCTTCCGGACACACGCCGAAGTGGCTCATATCCTCCTTCACGTTATCTCTTCACATGTCCATACCATCTCATTCTTATTTCCTTGACCTTCTCTTTGATGTCACTCTCTCCCAGTTCTCTCCTGATGTCAATACTTCTTTCCCTTTCTCTCAGACCCATATAGGAGCACAGGTCGTATTATAGTGCTGTATAGCTTCACCTTGAGTTTCCTAGGCATCTTCCTGTCACTGATAACACCTGACAACTCTCTCCACTTATTCCATGCTGCTGCCACTCTAGCTCTTATAGCCACTTGCGACCCTCCCCTGGCATCGAGGGTCACTCCAAGGTATTTGAACTCCTGGACCTGCTTGAGCCTAGCATTGTCCTTGTTTTTGATGTTCACTTCCACATCCTTCCTGCTACTTGCCATAACTTCAGTCTTCTTGGTGTTTACCTTCAAACCCTTGCTCTCCATTCCAATCTGCCACCTCATCCATCTTCTTTGCAGCTCTTCCTCACTGTCTGCCACTATTACCAAGTCGTCTGCAAACAATAGCTCCCATGACAGGCCTGTTCGGAAGTTCTCACTAATGACGTCTAGTATCACGATAAAGAGGAAGGGACTAAGTACAGACCCTTGGTGCAGACCGACTCCGATCGTGAACTCGTCTGTTCTGTCATATTTTGTTCTCACGGTGGTCCTTGCTCCTCGATATGTCGTTTCAACCATCCTTATCAGTTTCTCTGGGACCTTTTGCTGTCTGAGGCACCAGTACACCAGGTCTCTAGGGACCCGGTCATACGCCTTCTTCAGGTCCACGAAAGTGCAATATAAGTCCTTGTTCACTTCGAGATGCTTTTCCTGCTGTTGCTTTATAATAAAGGCATAGTCCATCGTTCCCCTACCTGGGCTAAAACCAAACTGCATATCATTTACCGATACCAGTCCACGTAACCTTCCCTCTTGTAAATGGTGACTAGTTCACTTAGTTCCCATTCTGTTGGCATCTTCTCTTCATCCCGTACTTTCTGAAAGAGTGACGTGAGCATCTGGATTCCCCCCTTGCCTAGGTGATTTAGCAGGATAAGATGTGTTAAATGTAAAAGGTTGTAGAACATTGTAAGGTAGAATGGTAGTTAAAAGGGTGCAGAGGGGGGGTGGGGCAAATGGAATATAGAGGAGATTTGTAAAAAGGGGTGGGGTTAAAGGTATAGGGCGATCACATCATATGGAGAGTATGTGTCTGAGGAAGGGAGATAACACTGTATGAGGAAAACGGCAAAAGAGCTATTATGAAGCAATCAAAGGGCAATACGGTAAGAAACGACAGTTGTAGAAGTAGGAAAAGAATCCAGAGGATGAAATAAGGGAACATGGGAAGGTAGTGAAGTATCGGGAAGAATGTCAGGAGGGGGAGGGATCCGGAGTAGGACATTGTTGTGACATAATGGAGTCACATGAGCATCTAGATGGGAGTGATAAGGATACTGGGGAATGAAGAGGAACTGGTGATGCTCATGGAGGAGGAGAAGATGGGGTGTTTTCTGGACGAGTGGGAAGTAGAGGGGTGGGGAACTTGAGGAGGAGGATGGATATCGGAAAATACTTTGTTTGTAGAGCAAATAGGAATAAAGAGACTAGAGGGTGGATTAGGGAATGGATCACTCTTCTGAGTCATGTTTAGGAACATTTGGATGTCTTCAAGAGTTTCTGGGGGGAGTTGGGAGGGGAAGTCTGAGAAACAAAGGTTTTCTTAAGTGTAGGAGAAGCAGGAATAGATGTCCGAGGAGCAGAGGGAGAGGTGGGTGTAGGAGAGGATGTGATAGATGGAGTGGAACGTTTAGATTGTCTGGTGCGACAGGTAGGGTGAGGAGGAGGAGGGGTAGGCACTGGGGAAGCAGTAGAGATTGCAGTATCTGGATTTAGACGGAAAAGGAATTTGATTGGGGGAGAGAGGGAGTAGAGATGGGATTGTTCGGGAGATGCTGAGACTTCTTGAGATGGGAGGGGAGCTGAGTGAAGTACAGTTTTGGAATAGGTAAAAAAAGAAAAAACCTTGATGGCGTGCTTCTTATATGACCTGAGGAGTTAGGATGAGGCCAAGTTTGAATCTGAGAACTGCTACCTCAGATTCGAGCGTGTAGACAGGGCAACTCTTATAAAATGCATTTTGGGAGCCACCACAATTAGCACACGTGCATGACTGAGCAGAGCAATTTGAACGGTCAAGCAGTTAGGTACATAGAGGGCAGTGGGCTGTGGAGCGACAGTGTTTGGCTGGGTGGCCAAAACGCCAACATTTCTGATATTGACGGGAAGAGATCGATATGTATGGACAGGGCAGGATACCCCCAATATGAACTTCATGGGGGAACCCATGTCTACGGAAGCTAATCTTGACAATATTGGTGTAGGATTTACGTTGGGCTCTGCGAGGAATAGTGACACCGAACTGCCACAGCATCATAGTTGACGAGGCATGCAAGCAAGTTGTTTTCACTGTCTGGCCAGTCCGTGTCATAGACAGGGCTATCAGTCGGAGTTCTGGTACAAGTATTAAGGGAGATGTGCGGTCAGTCAGGGTAGATAGTGCATGAGCTTGGGACTCAGATGTAACTGTGACAAGGCGTGAACTTTGCCTATTTGTTTTTGAAGATACTGTTGGAAGGGAAGGATATTGTCAGAGTATGGGGCTGTAGGGGGAATCACAAAGAATTGATCCCAATTGGCTGGGCCAGAAAGGGTTCTTAAAAGGTTTGCAGAGGTGGAAGCAGTAGAAGGACGACGGCAGGAGGAACATGGGGTGGTATGGAGAGGCAGTGCTGTTGGGAGGACAATAAGCAAGGGCATCAATTGGGGGAGAGCAGTTGCCCTACAAAGACTCTGTTTGCCCCTTAAGGTCTATCTTGCCTCCTCCCCAACAACATCGCAACAACTTTTAGAGCGAATTGAATTTGATTAGACATATACAAAGCAGAATAGACTGGTACAGCAACTGCTCCCCCCCCCCCCCCCCCCGACTCCTCCGGCTATCATCGATCAGAGCTAGGTGATTAACCATGGCTCCCACAGGCCATTTCTGACTGCCACAAATACAATCTTTCATCCTTTCATCATGGCTCTCACACCTTAGGAAGTGGACAGAAGGCGATGATGAAGGAGAGAAGGAAAAGGAAAGGGGTAGAAGAAAAGACCATGCAAAATTAGTTGAGGCAAGGGTCCCCCCCCAGGATAACTTGATGTACAATTAATTATATGATATTACTACCAAAACTGTAATAATGAAATTGGTATTCTTTCTGCATATTTTTGTGAAATGTAATGAAAAAGGGAGAATATTAAATATTAAGAATTTCAAACAAACCTACTTGTTGATGTGTGGAGTAACTGGCTCACATACACTTTTTTCATATTGATAAAATTTATACTTCTATCCCAATAATAAATAACAAAATATGATTCAGCATTTTTATTTTCATTTTTGGCTGGAAAATGGACAAATCTGGTGAATAAACCTCCATTTCTTTACAGCAGTCAAAGGTTCTATGAAAACCTCTTCTTAATCTGGTCTTCGCTGTAGGAGTACAGAGAAGCTTGTGTTAAGGTGTCAGATTTACTAAAGTTGTCAAAGGAAAATGAACACTACTTATAACAAAATCTGAAATTAATGTTTTATTCCTGAATCATTTGTTAACCCCTATTAAGTTCTTCATTCACAATTCTAATCATTGTCATTACATATACAGCTCATATCCATTTTCTCTTCCTAAGGAGAAGATATCAGCCAGTTAAAGTATTCTTCATTAGCAGTACAAAATCTGCCTATATTCATACTTCCCAAAACCTTAAACATACAACTAAAAACATTAGAAACAAAGGATAAGATATACAAGGAAGGGAATATGAAAACTTAATAATAAATAATAAAAAAAAGCTCAAGAAGTTTCATATCATCTAGAAATAATGGCAGAGTCCAAAACACATCTGTGCTTACTATGATCATACAGAGAACATTTTTTTTGTCTACGCACATTTCTAAATGGGAGGCTGAAGTCAACTAACCCCAAGTCTGATTAAAGGAATGCTCATTTCATTATTCTATAATCTTAGAAACAAGTTGTGGTCTTTGAAAATATTTTCCCAGTGCAGGGTAACTGCCTGTTTTAAACAAAACAGAAAAATGAATAAAGAAGACTTCCACATTTAGACAGATTAAAGTGACTATCATATATTATTTATACTGCTTCTGGGTTTTGTTACTATTTTTGTATGGACCAAAGTCGCAAGTTATTTATTACAAAGATCATGCTGTAAACCCAACTTCAACAATTTTGATATCTTTTATTAAACATTTACAAGTGAAGTCTGCTCAAAGTGAAGTCAATGTTGTTTCATTTGTGCTGAACCAAAACTAAATACAGTTAATTTAAACCTTCTGTGGCAATCCTGTCTTCTGATGTTTCCCAATATAGGATAGAAGAAACAAACAAAAACAAACAAGGTTTTACTTATGTCATTTCAGTTTAAGTTGTAATTTTCAGGACATTAAACAAGATTCAACTGTGTACTTACACGGAATATTAACACAACTATGTCCTGTTAACACTTAAAATCTGATGTAGAAAAAAATACCTAAGCAATTCATTCACATTATTACAAAAGTTGAAATACAGTTAACTATTGGAATATTAATGATTTAAAAAATTAGACTAAAACAAGTTCAAGGAAATGAAATGGAAAAAAGAAAGAAAGAAAAAAAATGCACAAGAAGCAGAAACAATAAAACAGTGATAACTCAGTAACATGAAAATATGCAATAACAATAATAAAAGTTGAAAATAAAAATATCCATAACAATATAATCTTTATTATCTTTTTTTAAATTCAAAGATAAACCTTACATAACTGGTTAAAGAAAACTGGCAATTAAAAGATAACAAGAATCTGCAGAGACAGTCTAAATAACTTGACTGAGAATATATTATTCTCTGTAAAATTGGAAAAATAAACAATTCTTCACAGCAAATGACTAGCTTTTCTTTTCACAAAATAAACTCATTATTGTAATAGAATGAGATCAGAACCATCATATAAAAGGTAGTACAGAGGTGCATTTGGAGAATGATGCAACTACGATGACCAATCTAGCTTTTGCCAAACATACTGCAAAATCAAACACATAAAAGGAACACTGCTAACAACAATAATATGCCTCTAAAAAGCCATATACATTTTTCTAAGAAGCTAAAACTGACACAAGCTACAGACAACTAACCCAAATAAGACTATATGTATATGATGATGATGATGCATAAAGTAAAATAATTTTGTATTTAGCTTCATGTCATGTTCATGCCAAACCTTATTCCACTGATGATATCAAATTCACTCCACATGACTATACAAGAATCTATTCATACACTATTTACACACTCTCAATAAACTAAATGGTTAAATACATTGAATTTGAACTTACATATCCAGAAAGGTTGATTAACATCCAAGCATTAATGTGTTCATGGAAAAAGAGAGAGAGAGAAAAAAAAAACTGTCTAAATCGAGGCCAACAATGACAATATAAAATAATTACTGTTATTGTTTATATAAGTCATTATATGTTTCTTTAATTCATAAAAATGTTGTTGACAGTAACAAAAACATGGCTGACCTATAAAAAGAGAAAAATATTGGAGAAGATATCAAACAACACTTACAAAGGAAAGTCTAAAAAAACAATTTTATCAATGTGATGGATTCTGCGTAGATTGAACTGGATGTTTACAAAAGTGCAATATAATAAACATGAAACTCATGACATAAAAACTCATCAATTGAAAAGTTAAGTTGAAAGTGTTAAATAGGTATGTTTCTAACATTCAAGAATTGAAATACTCTATTCATCTTTCTTCTAGAATGACTATGTAAAAAGTGAACTATTAAAAAAAAATCTTTACCATCATCATATTACCTGTACACTACAAATTGCAGAAGCACTGATTAAACACAATAGTAGAGACATAATATTCAATATACATAGATGAAAAGGAGGATCTTAAGACAAAAATCTCCAGAGATTTAGCCTCGTCACTGTAGTATCTCATTAACACATCACATTATGAATACAACGACAAACACTATTTGAGACCTGTGGAAAAATAATTATATATCAACTATTACCCCCTGTTCAAATTTTAACCCTGATGGCCATATACACATTACTCAAAAATGGTACAAAGATATATGATTTATATCTAATGTGCATTTTTATTTTTTATTTTTTGTAAAAATCAAGGCCTCTAATGTTAACAATTCCTTCATAACCAATAATTCCTATACCATCTCAAAAATATTGTTTACATCAAGTCTTTATTACAGTTATATTAAAAAAAAAAACAATATATATGGAATTTCAAAATGTATGGTTCTGTGCCTAACCAAGACTGTAGTCAATTCCCGACTGTTTTTATGGAGTACTGGTAGTCATAATTAGAAATTAAATTACAAGGATATAATGATACTTTCATCATAAGCAATTACCATATTTGCCAGCCTATAATAAATAGTACCAAACATATTTACAGATATACATTATATAAATGAGAAATGAATCAAAGGGAAAAGGAAAATAGGTATCTGATGAAATATCAACTCTCATTCACATTTACATTTAGCAGACAACTCTGAAACAATAATGATAATGGTGCTGTGGCTCAGAGCGGGAATACAAAATATCAGAGCAGAGATGCTTGCTTTTATACCCTACTGATAAGTTATATGAACAAGCCACACACCAAACAGCTGTTTTGATATACAAACAATATATCCTAGTTTTAAGCAGTTTAAGTACATATATTTTTTGTCACTAGTTTACACTCATGTCCTTTGTATACTATATGTATTTGTATATATCTGTATTTCGAAAATATAATATTGTTCCCTGAAAAATCATAAAATAACTTTTGGTAAATATATGAAGCAATGTAATATCATTTCCACTAATATATTGGCAAATATGGTATAAACATGTGTGCAAATACATTTTTTTTCTATTGAAGAACAATAGTGGTAAATGACTGGTGATTTATGTCTGATTGTGAGCATACTTCATTCACTTTGTTCAGTGTAACTTTGTTCAACCTAGGAGTTTGTGAATTAGGTATATTTTTATGCTTAACTTCTATGGAAGAAACACACCATATTCAATAAGCCAGAACTCAATCCTCATCTAAATAACTGGGTACATGTCAATATCACACTGTGCCAATATGTCTGAAAAGTTACAAGAGAATAAATGATGTTCAGTCTTTTGTCATGAAATACATGTATTTATCTACTTTATTACCCACATTGATTGATTAAGTTAATCTTACTTGTCTGAATAGCCATGCCAAGATCCTGAAATGCGGATGATATTAATGTAGACCTATTCCTCTTCATTCTTTTTTCACTGGCTTACCCAAGAAAATGTGTTATTGTTGCATAGACTCAGGAAAGGCCTGACAAAGACTGACATTATGTATGATTAGGCAGTGAATTCTTGTAACACACTCTTTAGTCTGACATCAGACAAATCTAAACAAAATATCATTAATATACTATTTAAGTCTGGCTGCCTTAGTTAAGGATGACACACTTTTTTTTTTGTCTCTCCCCCTTTCTTTGTCTGTGTATGTGCATATTTTTTAAGCCTCAAAGAGAAAAAAAACATGAACTTACATAAAGTAAATAGCAGTGTTACTACAATTATAAGTAGAAGCAAGCACAAAATTCACATGAGCATAGCTTGATATCAAAATATACTACCAGTTTCATTACCAGAAAGAAATCATAAAGGAGAATAGGCATGTCAATAATGTTCTGGACAGTTTCAGGTATGTCTGACATATTGTTAGACAATAAATTTATCTTTGCCATATTCTTAGAAGGGGGGGGGGAGAAAAGAAAGAAAAAAAGAAAGAAAAAACATTTCTACTGCTACCTCACGATTAGAGACAACGGTGCACTTTGTGACTGTGTGAATGACCATAATCTGCAGGTTCTGCCACAGAAAAAAAGGAGATTAAAGCTTACCTCTTCTACAACAATTTTTCCATTTCATATCCCTCTTTTTAGTAAGTTATTATTATTATAAACATTATTACTATTAATGGTAGCATTACTTGATTAGTTCAGAAGTATTGCTATTGCTATCATTATTACTATCATTATTAAATTATCACTAATTTACAGCATATCTTTTACTTCCAGGTACAGAATCAAACTGGTCTAATCTGTGTTTACACACAATTGACATGTGCTTAGTCACCAAGGAGTCAATTATTAGTCCTACCCATCTCACCTGCTTACCCTTTTCCTTGACTTTCTGTAAAAATAATTTTTATTTCTGTGGTTATTAATATTTCAATACTATTATAATGATTATAGCATCAATAATAATAATAATAATAATAATTACAACAGTAGTGATATAGATAGCATTAGTTAAAACAAAAATCCAAAGATTTCAAGGAATGGGTAAATCAAGCATCACATAGGGTTAACTTATTGACTACTTGGTGGCTGAGACATCTGTGTGCAACAAATTTCACAAATACATGTACCTCCTGCCAGTGAGCTTCTATCAATGTTATTGCACTTACATTTAACTTCACACACTTTTACCAAACTTGTTGACTTGTTGATCATGCAGTTTTCAATAGTATATACTATGTTTTTAATCATAGCTGCTGTTGTATCTATAAGTACTGTATCAGTCCTAAAATATATGCTGAAGCAAAGATTATCTATATCATCAATTATGTAAAAAAAAACATAAGATTAACAGCTGCTTATGCAGATTTCCCTCCCCCAGATTTATCTGAATAGAATACAAGATCCTCAACTAATACAATATTTGGAGGGGGAAGGGGGAGAAAGGAAAATAAGCAAAGAGCAGCACAATTTTTGAATTTGAATGAGATTTTTCTTTGGAAGGGGAACCATAAAAAAGAGAAAAAAAGAAGAAAAATTAATGCTGTAAAACATGCAGTACTCATATTATCATAAATTTCATAAGACTGTCTGCAATATTAACCTGCAAAGATGGTAATAATTGTTGCTAATTTTAGGGGCTGGTGATCCCTAGTTGGTGAGTCTTCAAATCTAAACAAAGTACAGAGTTAAATATTCAAAGCATATAAATGAAAGAATAATTGCAAAAGCAAGACATGCAGTTACAAATACATTAAATTTGGTGTCAATAGATTTACATTCATGGCTGATGGATACCTCACAGAATTTACTATTATAAGACATCATTTTTAAGAAAGAAAGTGTGGTAAAATGAGGGACAGTCTCTGGAAGTCTTGCAAGATCATCCCTTGAAGGTAGAGTTTAATGACTAAGTCATGCTAAGGTGCAATAATGTAAGCTATTAATTGGTATTACCTTACCATGATGTTTGATTCCTTTTTCATGTTGTTGAGAACAACTGACTAATGTCAGTAGACTTTTATTAATATCAAGCTAAGCCTGATGTCTATTTTCATTACTCTTTTTTCAAGAATGGTCAGTGATAACTTTTCTTTCACCTTAAAATGACTGTATTCTATCACTATCACTTTTCACATACTCCATAGGCAGGGCCAGATTAAGAGTTTGCAGGGTTGTAGGCTGTTTCTAATACTTCAATATGTGTATATGTGTGTAGGAAACATCCATGGATAACAGGAGCTCCTGAATAGTCTAGAAGATCAGAAGAATGCTTACCAATGTAATGTGTAAAATTTACAATAAATTGTACCTATATTTATGAGACTACATATAGGGCATCCACCCTTAGGATTGGGATCCCTTAGGATGCCTACCTAGCCAAGACCTTAATCCAGCCCTGTCCACAAGTCTATCTAAGAACAATTACTTATGACCGGCCCAAGTTGAAGGGGTAAAACCAGGTTATCTAACTGAGCAATTCAGGTGCTGATATTGAAAACTGTTCCCTGAAAGTCACACCTAGTCATATCATTAATCATGCCTAACGTAATATGAAACATGAAGAAAAATTCAAAGAAACCGTAATCACCACAGCTATACTACTACACATGGATTCACTTGCTATAAAAATCATCACATGAAAGCCAGTGATAGGCTGCTGCAAGACAACTTGCTCCACAGGCTGGGCAGGAAAATACCAAACACATCAAGTTTACATACTCCTACTAGTGATTAGGGTCACATCAAGTCTATGGCTGGTTCCACAAGCCACAAAGGAATTCCAGAAATGTCAAGCAACAGTCCATATTCAGACAGACTCTTCAGTGGATATATGTACCATGTATGTATATATGTACTCAACTTTATACACACCCTCCTCTCTCTCTCTCTCTCTCTCTCTCTCCAACTCACTCACTCACTCTCTCAGATATTGTATCGTGTTCCTTCACTGTGTAGCTCTCACTCTCACTTAAGCTCTCTTGCTCTCACTCCTTTTGTGTGTGTGTGTGTGTGCGTGTGTGTGTGTGTGTGTGTGTGTGTGTGTGTGTGTGTGTGTGTGTGTGTGTGTGTGTGTGTGTGTGTGTGTGTGTGTGTGTGTGTGTGTGTGTGTGTGTGTGTATGTGTGTGTATGTGTGTGTGTGTGTGTGTGTGTGTATGTGTGTGTGTGTGTGTGTGTGTGTGTGTGTGTGTGTGTGTGTGTGTGTGTGTGTGTGTGTGTGTGTGTGTGTGTGTGTGTGTGTGTGTGTGTGTGTTTGTGTGTGTGTGTACACATATATATACACAAACAAACATATATACATAGACAGACTGATAGATAAGTAACTTTATTTTTTGGGATTACAGTGGGCCTAAGAGGCTAAAAAGACCCTAGTGGCTATGTGCTATCCCTTTCCAATAAAGCCTTTGATAAAATTAGGCTCTTCTGTTTAAGACAGATGCATGTGTGTTTGTATGCATACACAAACATCCTGTGTATGTATGCAACATATACCAACATATCTTGATTTATATATGTACACAAAAACACACATAATCATGATCTCATCCAAAGATTCCTAGAAAGGCTTGCTCTGTGACAAAAAAACAAAAAACAAAAAATAAATAAAAATAAAAAAAAGAAATCCTTAAAATACATGACACTATCAATTCACAGTGCATTAAGTGGAGGACTGTGGCCTACGTGTCTGGATGATTTGGGGTTTTGGACCACCCGGGTTGTCTGCTTCCTCGCAAATGTGAACAATTATTCCAGGCTTATCTTCCATTGGTGGATGAAGTTCATGACTCTCTCCTGAAAAGAAATAGATCAACTCAGAAATGCCGAGGTGGAAATTCAAAATCACACTTTCCACAGATATTTGCTGTGATTTTAGCTCATTAACCCATAGGAGCCGGGTGCATCATGACCTGCATGTGGGCCAAAACTTTTCTGGGTGCATGGATTGTAGGCCTGGTCCACAGTATCATGGGCAATATCATGACTCCTTGCCTCCTTTTTGCAATGTTATTACCTCTTTTTCTGCATAAGTGTTATTTACTTTTTTTGCCTTATTTGTCCATTGTTTTGTTGGATCAAGGTGATAATAGACTATATTTCTAGAGCAGATGTTATTTGTCAAAAAAAAAAAAAAAAAAAAAAAAAAAAAAAAAATCTATCTATCTATCTATCACACATTGTGCTGCCAGGCCTGTCCAAATAGGATCTAGAAATATTGTCTTCCCAAGAGCTGGTATTCTTCCAGTCATGGCTCACAGATGATACATCCCATCCTTGTTTATCAATGGAAATAATGCAAGAGCCCCATCCTAAATGCCCATTGAATCTTATCTATCTCCAGGAAATTTGTGTACTAAGATGAGTGTAAATATATTGGCCCTTGGCCATATTTTTCATAACATGATGGTCATGTCATCTGGATCCATTGGGTTAATCATACTAAGTAGGAAAAAATTATAATACTTCCTTTTTGCTTTTGCAATAAGTTTAGGTATTCTATCAAATCTTGTTTTATGCTTATATTATTAAAGCAACACAAATGCTAACTAGATCTATCTCAATCCTTAATATTTTGAGTGAAAGAAAATTGTTCTTTAATTGTCATTACAGTTATAACATTATAATACTACTAATGACATCAATAATATAAAATATTAATATCAGTAGAAATATTTTCCTAAAAAATTGAAGGCATGGGGTAATTAGGTGACTAAGCATTTTTGTGAAGCCATTATGTTCCGAAATAAATTTAAACTAATTTTCTGCTAACATTCAATATCAATATCTCAAGGCAGTACAAATTGTAAAAAGTATGAATATACCACAAATATTAAACAAAATTATATATTGTACCTGGAGCTAGGCTAGCTACTGCAGCAATAAGGTCATAATTAATAACAGGTTCAGCTTCTTCAACAGGTTCCCAGCCTACAGGTGGAGATGCAGGTGGAGATATCAAGAACTGCTTCTCTCGTTTTGGAGGTTGTAGGTGTGGCCCGTCTCGACTGCTCCCAAGGACAATAGGCTATCGAAACAGAACCAAGATTACTCATTACAAACTTGCAAGTTCTGAAGCTTATCGTGTATGAGCAAATATAAGTTCCCGCATAATTAATTTCCTAAACATTTTTGAAAACCATTTACTGATAAAAGTGAGGAAAACATCAACCTAGTAAGTTTAAAACAAATAACAATCTGTATTTTGATATATTCATATCTACTTAATGATCTGGATAGTTATCTATAAAAATGAATGAATTGATTTGCCTTGAGCAGAACACTCACCTGAGTGAAGTAGCATTTTATGACTTCCCCCTGGAATTCTGTCATATGGAGTTTGATACGTGCTGCAGCGGCTTGTGTGGGCGTTGCAAAGTTTACACGTACTCTTCGGAAGCTTTTGAAATACTGGAAGGTTGCAGTCTCATCTATGTCTTCAAAGAGCAACTCAAATATATTCTGTGGATTAAGAATTTCTGTTATAGAAATTATTTGTTATTTGTGTACTGTGCTATGTTTAATTGCTCTACTATATAGACCCTAAAGCAAGGCTTAAAACTAAACTATATGCATTAATCTCACAACTGTGACTATGACTAAAAAAAAAAAGAGAGGTCAAGTAATGGCCAAGAAGACAGGTGAAACATAGATATAAAGAAAAGGAGGGCAGCAGGGAGGGAGAGAGTGTGACTGTGAGATTAGATATATATATACACATATATATACACACACACACACACACATATATATATGTATATATGTATATATGTATATGTATATATGTATGTATGTATGTATATATATATATATATATATATATATATATATATATATATATATATATATATATATATATATATATATATATATGTGTCTGTCTGTATGTCTGTATGTCTGTATGTCTGTATGTCTGTATGTCTGTATGTATGTATGTATGTATGTATGTATGTATGTATGTATGTATGTATGTATGTATGTAAGTATGTATGTAAGTATGTATGTAAGTAAGTATGTATGTAAGTATGTATGTAAGTATGTAAGTATGTAAGTATGTATGTATGTATGTACACACACACATACATGTGTGTGTGTGTGTGTGTGTGTCTGCATGTGTTTGCATGTGTGTGTGTGTATGCATGCATAATCAGAGACTTTTCATCTATGGCAAAAGGTGACAAATTAAAGATAAAGGAGATACATGACAGAAGAGAGATGATCGACCCATCTTTTTTAAGTCCCCTTGGTTCCCTTGTCAGGATAAAAACAAATATGACTGCACAACTCCTTACTGTGATCTGTCAAGTAGTTCATGTATTACTATGCATTTATGAAAACTGCCTGTTGCATAATTGATTGGCTGCAGGGTGGCGTAAGAGGCTGGCGCAGTGATTGTCAGTCTGAGTGCGACTGACTGGCAGGGTGGGCGAAAAGTGAGCGTGTGTGTTCTTTTACTGTATCTGTGACTTGCACTTGATTGTTCTCCCCAAAGAAAAGTAACAGCATTATTCTATTGGGTCACAAGAGTAGTATAAGGCCGTGCTGGAGCTGTGTGTGTGTGGAATAACCATCTTTCCCACATGTGACCTGTTTTTGTCAATAAATCCTGTGGACTGCAATAAACAGTTGATCGCAACCTGCCTGTGATTTTACCATCCCCGCCATCTCTGCAAACACTCGTCAGAGGCTGCTCACCGAACCCAATAGGACAGGCAGTTAATGAGTGCAGCATCCTGACACATAGTAAGTTGTGTGAGGCATTCCGTACTGGGAACCTGTCTGCGTGCGTGACCTGCCCCACACTGAGCATCAGAGGTGGGGGGTTACGTGACTATATAATATAAATATTGTCTGGGAAGGCCAGATTGACATTATTGCAAAATTGGCCCTTAATGTACAGATATTTCTTACCCTTCCCCATGAAACCAAAAGCAAACCACAGAACCTTCCCCCCCCCCTCCCGCCACCGCAGGACCCCAAGAGCCCTACTCTGGCCTGCAGCTCTGATCAGGGTAGGTCATGCCC